AAAAACGGTAAAGTTTAAGTGTGATAAACCTTAATCAAATTTACCTTTATTTCAATCGTAGAATCGAAAAATAGAATAATATACAGGGTGTCTTATTTAAAAAATACAACTATAATATTTTTAACTTATTTTAAACTTACTTTCGTTACTTGTTAATACAAAAAAAAACAGAAAAATTAACATGTAACTTAAAAAATAATGGTAAAAACTTTTCTTTTCTTAAAATAAAGTTTATCCTTATAACGAACCTCATCGTGAATTAAAAAAAAAACACTTTAATTAACATTTTAACTCTGATATGCCCTCCTGAAAATATACTGAAATCTCAATTAATACAGATCCGTACCTTGTTATTTCAATGTCAGTCATTTCCCCTTTTTTCCAACGTGAAGTTTCAAGAGTAAAATTTGAAACGACTCCACCTTCTATCTCGTTATTAAGAAGAGGTATATAAAACTTTAAAAAGCCATTACAAAGTTGTATGGACAAGGTTGTTATCTTTACGCGATCATATAGAACAGTAGGTAATTATATTTTTTTATACACCGTATAATCTGGAAGAAAAAAAAAAGTAAGTATACCGTATATGATCGAAAAAAAAACGACATCACGGTAGGCGTTGAAGAAATAAAGTGTGTTACTTCGAGCTTTATTATATCTAGAAATTAGTAAATAATATTTTAACATTAAAAAATATAAAAATAATAATATTAAGATCCTATTACCCTTTTATCTAATAGTATAGGTACCTATAGTCCACTTAAATCGATCTTCAAAACTCGAAACATTTTCAATCCAATCGTTTTATAAGAGAGGAAAACCGCCAGAATAGATAATCCCATCTAGATCTGACTGACATGACAGTCTGTCCGAAGCCGACGTAACGTTTTTTTTTTCTTATACTATGCGTCGATTTAAGGGAATAAAAGGTCCACAATATCGCATAATAAGATAGACTTGAGTGAGGGTAGTACTATAACATAGTACACCCCAAGATACCCTAACAGATCCGTACTTATTAGTTTAAAAATAAAAGTTTACTTTAAAAGAATAGATTTTCCTTTGAGATATCGATTTTATAAAAGTTATAGGTTTTTTAAAGGTCCACGTATGTTTATTTTGATAGAAAATATCTTTTGATATAAAATAAAAAAGTTATTTAAAAAATCATGGCAAGAAATAATAAGGTTGCAAATTTAAATTTGCCATCACTTCTGGAAGAGAAGACATAATACAAACTAAACTCATGGCTTGATTGGTTATCTTTCTCCATTTGTTTCTGTCTTTCGCCTTTATCCACCCATCCACTCTTATCCTTCTCAAGTCCTTCTTCAACATCCTTTTACCATCTGGTTCTCGGTCTACCCCTCCTTCTCTTTCCACCTATTTCACGTTTCATTATCAAACTAGGAATTCCTGCTTCAGCCATTCTTTCAATGTGTCCCAGCCATCTCACTCTTTGTGCTCTTGCTACTTCCGTTATACTCGGTGTCCGATATAGTTACTTTAATTTTTCATTTGTTCTTCTCGTCCATATGTTGTCTATCTTCTTTCCTCCGAAAATCTTCCTCAGTATTTTTCTTTCCCAAATCTCTAGCCTCGAACTTTCCGTTGCATTGAACGTCCACGTTTCACATGTTCACACTGTTGGTCGTATCATTGTTTGGTACATTCTAATTTTTAAACTTCTAGATGTTCTTACTCTTAATCATTTTCTCTAGCACACTAACACATCAATTTCCTGCCATTATTCTTGCAATTTATTCAGTTACATTTCATTTCCTTTGACTCCTAGATATGTAAATGTATCAACTTCCTCAAACTTGTATCGTGGCTAACGTCATATTCAAGGCCTGACTGTTTTGACAGTTCTACCGAAGTGGTTCAGAATTAGTAGTCGTAAACAAACCAATTGTTTTCATTAGTTTCGCAACAAATCTGTGTTTTTTTACGCGTTTCTATGCTAATAAAATTATACTAAATAATTTTGAGTGAATAGTGAACTATCTAGATCCGATTCGGTCCTGGTACGGCTCTGCGATAGTACCCTTAGGTTTCTTCTGTATCCACGTGCCCTTTTTTGGCCTGTGCGCCCATTCATGCGGGATCTCTTTATCCTCACTGATTTTTTAACGGATCGTGCTAAACTTTATGCTTTTCTATCGTGTTTTTCGAATTCTAAAGGAACAGTAACGAATTTTAAAAAAGTATATGTCACTTTCAAATAATTTATACACTGGAATTAAAAGTTACAATCATGATGACTGGTTATTTGTTCATTAATATGTTAATGATAAATAAACAATAAAATTCTTCGATTTTCTATGAGCTTGTGGTACACGTTTCGGTAGTTGTAGAATGGACGGTACCGCTTAAGGTCTGGTAGAAATGTTTGTTAATTGTTTTTTATTCGAAGTAAACAAATGTGTAAACGATTTTGGTCAATTAGGAATGCCATAAATTCGTTTCTTTCCTTATGGTATTTTAATTAATAAAGACGTAGGTATAACTGTTGTAGTTCCTGTTTTTTTGGGATGTGAGGTTTGATTAAAGACATTTTTATATGGATATTAACAAGGTTACTGATAAAATAGGAAGATTTAAAGAACTTTTTTATGTATATTCATTTATTTATGTATTGAATTTACTCTATCAAGATGGGGCAGAATAGTCTAGTTAGATCATTGGCGTTAATGCAATCGACTTGAAGGAAGAAATCCATAATAATTGGAAAAAGAACCAAATGGAATCCTACTGGAAAAGCAAATATAAACGTCAAAAAGCAAAAAAAGTCTAAGAATCATTTTTAACAAGGACATCCCATAGAAACCTCCTAACTTGACTATTCTACAAAAAGCTTTTGTGTCCCATTTTCTTATTACTCATCATATATGGGGATATTCCTGTAGTAGACGGTGCCTGGTATGACGGACAAGGTAGTACCATCCGGCATCGTTATACCTCTTGGTACAATTTCCTGGCCACGACACTACAGCCAAGGACAAGGCAGTGAGATACTCCTTAGACCTCTCTAGCCAAAGTGCCAGAGAGGAGTTCCCCTAACTCCTGACTAGATCTCTTAGAGGATGATCTTAGGCGGTAGTAGTAGTGCTTTTCCGGTACTACTTCAATTTATCTCCAAATCATGCATTCATCTCGTTTTAAATTATTCACCGAGGACTATTACGAGCATTCTTCTTTAATCTCTCTCTGATTTTCCGCTTGATTTTTCTACTCGATGTTACTATAGTTTTTAGGGAGTGGTAGTACCTTTCCGGTACCGCTTTTTCCTCTCCAAATCATGCATTTATCTCGTTTTAATATAATCACAGGACTATTACGAGCATTCTTCTTCAATCTCTCTCTGATTTTCCGCGTGATTTTTCTACTGGGTGGTATCATAGATTTTAGGGAGTGGTAGTACCTTTCCGGTAGTACCTTTTCCTCTCGAAATCATGCATTCATCTCGTTTTAATCTAATCGCCAAGGACTATTACGAGCATTATTCCTCAATCTCTCTTTCTCTGATTTTTCGCGTGATTTTTCTACTGGATGGTACCGTAGATTTTAGGGAGTGGTAGTACCTTTCCGGTAATAATTTTTCATTTCCAAATAATGCATTCATCTCGTTTTAATTTATTCGCCGAGGACTATTACGAGCATTTTCTTCAATCTCTCTCTGATTTTCCGCGTAATTTTTCTACTGGATGGTACCATAGATTTTAGGGAACGGTAGTACCTTTTCCCCTCCAAATCATGCATTCATCTCGTTTTAATCTAAGCGCCAATGACTATTACGAGCATTCTTCTTCAATCTCTCTGATTTTCCGCGTGATTTTTCTACTGGATAGTACCTACTATAGATTTTAGGGAATGGTAGTACCCCTCCGGTAGTACCTTTTCCTCTCCAAATCATGCATTCATCTCGCTTTAATCTAATCGCCAATGACTATTACGAGCATTCTTCTTCAATCTCTCTCTGATTTTCCGCGTGATTTTTCTACTGGGTGGTACCATAGATTTTAGGGAATGGTAGTACCTTTTCCCCTCCAAATCATGCATTCATCTCGTTTTAATCTAATCGCCAATGACTATTACGAGCATTCTTCTTCAATCCCTCTGATTTTCCGCGTGATTTTTCTACTGGATAGTACAGTAGATTTTAGGGAATGGTAGTACCCCTCCGGTAGTACCTTTTCCTCTCCAAATCATGCATTCATCTCGTTTTAATCTAATCGCCAATGACTATTACGAGCATTCTTCTTCAATCTCTCTCTGATTTTCCGCGTGATTTTTCTACTTGTGGTACCATAGATTTTAGTGGTGTACCTTTCCGGTAGTACCTTTTCCTTTCGAAATCATGCATTCATCTCGTTTTAATCTAATCGCCAATTACTATTACGGGCATTCTTCTTCAATCTCTCTTTCTCTGATTTTTCGCGTGATTTTTCTACTGAATGGTACCGTAGATTTTAGGGAGTGGTAGTACCTTTCCGGTACCACTTTTTCCTTTCCAAATAATGTATTCATCTCGTTTTAACCTATTCGCCGAGGACTATTACGAGCATTTTTCTTCAATCTCTCTTTGATTTTTCGCGTGATATTTCTACTGGATGGTATCATAGATCTTAGGGAGTGGTAGTACCTTTTCGGTACCACTTTTTCCTCTCCAAATCATGCATTCATCTCGTTTTAACCCATTCGCCGAGGACTATTACGAGCATTTTGCTCCAATCTCTCTCGATTTCCGCACGATTGACAGGTGGTACCGATGCACTCGGGCGGTGGTAGTAGTACCTTTTTCCGGTACCACTTTTTCCTCTCCTCCTGCACGTTTGCGGTGGTGGTCGCCGGCTTGGCTACCTACCGAGTGCGAGCGAACCGCGCCGCGGCGCGCAAAAAAAACCGCGTACGAGCGCCGCGGGTGGTGGGGGGTGGGTGTTGCGTTCCGACCAATGGGCGGGCGGCTTCGGCGTCGAAGTAGGCTGCGGGCGCTCGCCGGCCGCCAACTTTCAAAGTTTCGGCCTCTTCAGTCGGCGAGCGGCCGTTCTCTGCACCGACCGTAGACCGTGTATTGTGTAGCGGACTTAAGAACAGTTCAAATCGTAGATCGCAAACGAACAGTTTTTCGCGAAGTCGAATCGAACACAGAAATATCGTTTCTAAGTTTTTTTCAAGAACATTAGTGCGTTTTTTTTGCTTCTTTTTTTCATACGAAATAATTCTTTGAATGTTGTTATTGTTGTTTGTGACTGAGGAAACTGGCCCTTTTTCGTAGGTGAGTGAGTACCAATCAAGTTTTGTTATCGCATGGTAAATTTTTTTCGTAAATTTATAAAACAGATTTCTTTTATATAACTACCTATGAAAAAGATGAGAAGAGAATGCGAAAAGAGTGTAAAAGAATTCTTCATACAACACGCGAAGTTACTGCGCCATTTTTGCGCTATTTTTTCGAATACACTGAAATTAGTACCCTTTAAAAAATTGGCCGATCGTTTCCTGCAAAAATCAGTTCTCTCAATATAACAGTACATAAATGGCGACGTTAGTTTTACAAAAGTGCGTAGTAACAGCAAATTTTGTCAAAAAAATATAGTTAGTAGTTCTTCAATAGGTAAAATGATTTTCATTTAAATTTCAAGGAGTAAAATCTGAATATTCTCTGCTTCAAATTGTGAAAATTACCTACCACCACACTTGTTCGCTATTTTCGTACAAAATCAAGCATATTTCACTATTTTGGAGATCTACAAATTGAAAGAAATAAAAGCTACAACGTGATGCCTAGTAGTACCATTTTAGACGTAAAATGCAGCAGTGTTTTATTATTGTGCAATTATTATTATTGTTTAGTTATTGGAACCATTATACACAAATCTGTACAGAACTAATGATGTTTTAATCTGATTATTGATGATGATGCTAACAGAGAAAAACGAAACGTGTAGGAATTAAAAATCTTCCGGAGTTACAAATACAGTGTTTAGATTTTTCCCGCTAAAAAGCTGCTGAAAAATGTGAAATTTGTTTCTGGAGATTCTGAATGCAGTGAATTAATAAAAACAAAAAAGAAATACCGGTTGATCGAAAAACAAGCGTCCAGTTGGCTTGGAAACGAACATCGATGACATTCCCCATAAAATTTCACATATAAAATGACAGCGATCTTCATTTCATAGCCATCGCTGACACCGTTTTTTTTTCGGTCATATTCTAGGATCCACGAAATTACAGTATTTTTGCCTAAAACTCCGTAAATTCTCCACTCATTACATCAAAAATTGAAATTCTATCGTAAGTATGAGAGAAAAAAAATCAATGATTGCGAATTAACAGTATATTATTAGTTAATTTATAAAATTTCGTCATAAATAATTATATTACAATCATCCTAAACGCATAAGACCCAATCATTGTTTACTGTAAACATAATAATTACGTTACAAAATGCGTCAAAGCATGCTAATAAGTGTAAACCAAAATAATTATCGACAACGTAGGACATTACGAACATAAATAGAAAAAAAACGGCGTCAAATTGGCTTGGAAATGACGATCGATGAGATTCATTTCCAAGCAAACTCTGATACCGTTTTTTTTTCTCGATCATATTGGTATTTTATGTCTACAAACAGTACATATACTGTCCATGTCTACTTGACTACATAAATATATCTTCCAAACAAAAAAATAATTTAATGGTTATAACAAAGGTAATAAATATTATTGCCAATAACTGTATGAGCCCGACGGTATAATAAATTATGCAGTAACTAATGTTAATAATAATTATATTACTTTTAATTGAAATCTGTCTTGCTTGAATCTTTTTTTTATTGTTTAGTTAATTATATTGATTTTTACATTAAAAATATCTATCCACTTAAAAAAACAAAATATTTCTTCTTTTTCATTTTTTATATTCTAAATACCATTAATTCCAATCTTAAAAATACCTTATAATTTTTTTTAATACTATGCTCAAATTTTATTGTAGTTTTCTCTGATCTATTATCATTTTTATCATCGATTTCTTCTCTAAAAAGCGAAATTGAAAGTGAATGGGGGGATACATAAATAATTTAAACACAATCTGTACAATGTTGGTGACTTGAACTTGGTACATAGATGTAACCAATACATATTTATAAAAAAATAGGCGCACATAGGCCGATGCTTCTCAACAATTTTGCAATTGTAATGGTATCCTGATTAATTCCAAATCAAAGTCGATCAACCATTGATCTATTGATTATACATTTATTCGTGTAACTGTCATAATAACCATATTTAAAGACAGACTTTTACCAATCTATCAAATGGAGACACAAAAATTGTGTTTAATTTCTTTTTCAATTTAAAGCAGTAAATTTATTGGTTTGGAACTGTTAATAAGATATTATTCATTATCTCGAAAGTACTTAAATAATATTCTGATGCAACTTTACTTGCAAATTATATAAGAAAAAAAATATATTGATGATTAAAATAAAAGAAAACAGGAAAGGATACCGTGCTGGCAACTGTTACTTTTGGGTCGGCATTTACATGTGTGGAAGTAAATCGCATAGGGATCTTATTAAGTCGGAGTGAGAGAAATGCGACCGATCGACGCGACGGTGTGGTGTTGCGGCGTTGCCGATACGCCTTTCCCTATCAAGTAAAGTAAAATCACGATCGCAAACCGCTTATTTTTAACAGACGTTTTTTTCAAGAGATAACTAGATAAAATCATTAGACATGTTTCTGAGCATCTGAAATGGAATTATAAGGATATCGTTGGGGTGTCATTTTTTTTATAACGAGAAATATACGTCAGTAATCGCAATAATTTAGAAACTCAACTTTTTAACACATAACAGGCCATAACTCAAGAACCACTTTAGATATTGAAACTTATTTTTATTTTCAAGATCGGATATTTTACAATATGTTTACATAAGAAAAATTCGATAAGGTTTTTCCATTCAAAAATTGTAAACAATCCATACATTTACTTTTAGAGCATAGCAATTTTCAGCAATCGTGTAATTTTTTTATTGATAAAGATTTTCACATACTGTCTACAAAGAAAATACAGCAGAAATATTAACAAAGTTCTTGAAAAAACTACAATCTATTATTTCTAATAGATTTCGAGATGTCGATTTTTGAATTCAGAGTTCTAATAGCGCGACCACTATCGAACACCCACTCAATTCCACTTATTTTTACCAAAAATGCAAGTGTTTCTAGCTTGCACTTAAAAAAATTCAAGCTATAGGGAAAATTACAACGACTCGTTTATAAATTTACAAATTAAGTATCATGAGACGTAATTAAATTGTGAAGCTGACGTACACCTTTCCCTAGAACTTTAAGTACTGACAGATGTATTGATTGGGTCCACCGGTCAACTGCGACAAATCTGCTATATCCCCTTCGACGTCTCTTAGCGATGTGCACAGTTTCTCGGTTTATTTCATACGTTTGGCAACGTGTTTACTGTCCTCTCTTTGTTCAGTACATTATAAAGACATTGTACTCATCTTACATACGGAAATCTCGACCCAAGACTACTTTGCCAGCCCTTAGTATAAGATAGAAACAATAAGATCTTCTAATGTGACTTTTCTTAATCAAAAGCATTTTTTAGAAATATTTTTTCAAAATTCTTGTAGGAATTAAAGAGAAAATAACAGAAAAATAGATTTTTAATAAATTTCTGACTTTTTAAAAAAGACTTCTGTCAAATCCGTAACAAAAAATTTCAGTTTTAAACAACTTCCCTTTGAAAATGATTGAGGAATTTGAGGAAGGTTTTGAGAAATAATTAACTCATTATTTGAGGCTTTAAAATATCGTCTGAAGGATCGTGGCTGGCCATCTTGTTTATATCAACGCCATTTTCTTCAAGCGAAACGGCGAAAATTGTACCCTTGTACCGCGCTACTTTGTGTGTAAGTTTTCTGTCGGTATCATTAAACAAACTCGTTTTTTCTTATCAGCGATGTTTTGATTAAACAGTTGCTTTTTTTGGCAAGCGAGACCCTGGATTTTACACGCAGATAGTCGTAGGTACACCTTTTTTTTTCTTAAAGATAAAATAAAAAAATACACACAACTTCTAAAACAGAAGACTGAAAAATATTATAGAGATAGTCATTTTTGCTATTCTCCTGTAGATAACTCCTTTGCTAACCCTGTAGATATATCGAATTAAGGTTTTTAATTTTTTTTATACCTACAACATGAACGTATTATTGTGGTATAATTTTGTAAATATTATTTCAATAAATTTTAAGTTTTATTGAAAGAAACTGTAAAAATATCTTAGGAATTAATGGTACTACCATTCTCATATAGTCAGAGTAATGTAGATTTTTCTTTTCATATGAAACTTTGACGAAACCTAGGAATTTACTTTATCATAGATAAAAAAATAATACAAGACAAAAAGTATATACCATAGACATAATACTAATGTAGCAAATGTGGTATGGTTCTTTGGTACTAAGCAATGACCAGTCATTCGCAAAGAGTTACTTATGTGGAGGATTCAGTCTCCAAGTTGTAAAAATGTAATCTAGAGATCACGGTGGTACTGTCACCAATCAATAGAATCTTATATAGTCGCAGTAAAACTCCACCCAATAGAATCTAATCTCAATTAATCAAGCGGGAGATCGAGAATTTTCACCATGGTACCACCGCAAAGCTGAAGAATTATCTAGGAATCTCTTCCAATTTCCTTGGTTTGATATAAAAGCAGAAAAAAAATACTGACTATATACGAGGGTGGTGGTAGTACCGTTTCGGTAGTACCATTTTTTCGACTGTTAATTGCTGGGCGCGTCGATGAGTCGGACAGATAGTCGGGCTCTTGAACAATGAGCTTTATTGGCTTCCTCTCTATCTGCTCGGTTCGGTACGACCCGAGGGGCCAAAGGGAGCCGGTAGCCGATGGTATCTGACCGCTGCCAGCCGGCCGGCCATCGGTACCAACAACGCAAAGAAGAACAAGAAGGAATCTCCATCTCTTTAGTTTTTGTTTTACCGGCGACGAGAAGAAATCAGTCGGAGCGTCGACACGGCGGGCGGGTAGTACCACAGGTACTACCACCGCCGCGATTGAGGTTTTTGCACTCCCACGTACCGCCGGCACCGAAGGAATTCCGATGGGGCCTGAGAGCCGAACTGTTTTTGGTCAGGAGTCGGATGCGACGACGGTACGACCAGACTTGGGTCAGTGAGACGCGTTTTCGTGTTGCCTTTTTTTAATTAAGTCAACGTGAT